TCGTCCCTTCTTTTTCGCCGCGTATTTGGCGTACTCAACGGGATGCCTCGACCTAAGGTGTTTTTCCGGACCGCCATAACCGCCGGGAATTCCCATTTTTATAACAGTCCCACAATGTTTACAAGTTCCATAATTAAACTACGCCATCTTTTGTGTCTTTGTCAAAATGATAAACAAATAAATCTGATTTTAATTTCTTTTTACCTTTGTCCGGATTTCGAGAGGTCTCGGGCTCACCTGTCTCCACGTCGACGTCGTTGCTTTGCGGTGTAGGCTCATCGTCCCCGTCCAGATTATCCAGTCCTGCTTCATCATCATCCTCGAATAGACTATCAAGAGTGGGGAGATTCGCGTCCCCTCTACCAGAATAAATCTGGTTGAATTCTTCATCCGTCATACCGTCCCCGATTAAATGATCTGGGACAGTAGGAAACGAAGAGACGGAGTGTGTTCCTCGAGAACCGCGTGAGGTCGAACCGTCGGAGGTGGCATTAGCTTTGCCGTTCCTCAAACTTCGTTTCACGGCGCCCATATCCACGGACCTTCTACCGGACTCTCTCGACATTTTAATATATATATTTTTGATATAAAAAAATAATATATTAAATTTTGAAAATTAAAAAAAAAATTGAAATTTTATATATTAAAATTTCGAAAATTTCAAAAAATAATAGAGAATATATTTAAAATATAAATTATATATTTTTTGATATTAAAGAAATATTAAATTTTGAAAATTTCAAATAATTTCGAAATTTTATATATTAAAATATAATATATTTAAAAAACAATGTATAAAAGAAATAATAAAATATTAAGATTGAGAAATTGAGAATTTGAGATTTGAGAATTGAGAGATTGTTAAGAATGAATGTATGATAGATTGAGAGATTGAGAGATGGATTGAGTTGAGTGTGATTTTTTTAGGAAAAAAAATTAGGTATTTATAAAAATTTTAACCCCCCTCCCCTCCCCACCCTCCCCCCTCTCAAACGGCATAATAGTCGTTTAGGCCGGTCCCCTCCACTGACTCTGTTTTTTTTTTTTGCAGGTGTGTGCAGCGTGCAGGTACCCGTTGGAGCAAAAGAGGAACAAAAAAAAATTAAACCGGTACCGGTACCGGCGGTCCTGGTAACGAAATTGGGGCACCGGAACCGGGACCGGATGTGGCGGTACCGGTACCGGTTCTCGGAACCGGTTGGGCGTCCCGGTTGACGGTACGGTGCTCGGTACCGGCGTACCGTTTCCGGTGACGGTACTGCACCGGTACCGTGTCCAGCCCTAAATCCGACCCGTAGGTGCTGCGCAGTTGCTAGTTGGCAATGCAGGGAGTGCTAAGGGGGTAAGATTCGAGTTCGATTCCTGCCAAATGTATTGGATGCAATTATGGTAAGCATAGGGCCTCTACAAGTACCAAGTGCAGGCTCAACTTTTTGTCATCAATTTGTGATTAAAGTCCAATTTATCTCCTCTCAGTGACCGTCCGACGGGGTCTTAGTGCGCAGGGGAGCCTCGGGGATGAGACTCATCCTTTTTTGTCAAACTAATCCTTTCATTTTCATTTTTAGATCTCCTCAAAGTAAATATTTTGTTTTTCTATTTTCTTATTCATGTAAAGAATTTATGTATCAAATTCTTTCTCCTCTTCTAAATAAATTTCAATTGCCTACTCTTTATATTATCAATACTTTTTTTAATTTTGTAAAGTCAAATTGGTGCAATTAATTCGAGGCGAATAAATATTATATTTCCAATAATACTATCCACTCCAATGCAACAATTAGGAGTGTACAAATTCGAGTTAGAACTTGTAAATTGAACATGACGAGACTATAATTACCGATTTTGGGTAAAATTGTATTCTGATCGGTCTAGTTTTAGATCAATGCTCTACAGACCAGCATAATTTTGGTCCACTTCATCCACACTCGGTATTTTATTAAGCTATAATATCTAATACTTACAGAGACCTCATATTTTGCATTGTTACTTCTTAGTGCAACCACCATATTTCAAGCTTAGATCTCTCTCTTATATTACTTGGACTCGAAAATTCTACTCCTAATCGATTTTAGGTCAGAAAACCTAGAATATAATTTTTTTCTCAAATCATTTTAACTGATTTTTTTTGGAGAAATAGCTTTATTCGATTTTTTATCCATTGGCCATGTTTCAAAATTTATATTAACATAAAATATTATCATCAACAATATGATAAGTTTAGAATGAATTTTAAACTTTTGTTAGTTTGCTTTCAAAAATACTATTTTCTCTATCTTGATTTAAATAACATGTTTTGACGATGTTTGACTGAAGTTATTTTAAATTTTTTTATATAAAAATGGTGTGGAATTTAAATATAAAAATTACGTATTTAAAAAGAACATCAAAAGATCTAGAAAATGAGTGGTGACATGATTATATTATTTTTTCAAATAACTAACAAAAATAGGGAAAAAATGAATAACGTTTGATCATGCAAATAGTATACATGTAATTTAATTTCGGACGGAGAAAGTTTAGAGTTGCACTTTAAAGTTCCTTTTTAGTTTTTTATTCGATTAAAATGTACTCCGTAGTAATTATTCATATCTTTCTCAATCTAATGTTTTACAATGAGCTAATGCCTCCGCCTTCACCAAAATTCGAACCTAAGTGAACTCCATGAATTACAGGGAGTGAGCTTCTTACGGCTCAAGCTAAGTGAGAAGTTCTAAAATGTCTCTATCTTATCAAGAGTGAGTTATATTTCAAAGTATCTAAATATCAAAGTTGTGAACATTACAATTCAAAGTATCTTAATAAAAAGTTGTTTTATTAAGTAAAGTAATGAAAATGAATAACATGAAATTTTTCATATTTAAAAGACTAAATTATGTTAGAACAAAAATGAAAATACAAACTTGTATTTATAATCACACATTATATGTACTAAAAATGAAAAAAAGAATGAACTACATCTCAATTTTACCGGTCTGACCTAGAAACAATTCCATTATGGACCGGAATGAAGCAAAGTTATACCGATGTTCAATCTTAGGATCGAAAACTATTCTCGAATTTACTGGTCCAGCCCAGAATTGGTTTTTCCACCGGCTCGGCCCGAATTTTGTATGGAACACTGAGTAAGATACAGTCCAATTTTATTTTTTTAGTTAGTAAACCCACTCGGACAACGTACGTTTCGGCCCAACTCTAAAGTTTTCACTTCGGCCCAGTCCTTCATCCTCTTCGACATTTCTTCGTTTCTTCCATATCCATTTTCTGGTATTTCATTCCCAAGCTCCAACCCTTTCGAATCTTCTGAAACGGAAAAAAACTAAATTTGTTCCTTCAATCATCCAGTAGAAAGAAGATATGTTTAATGAAATTCCACTCTACAGATCCTTTTTTCACGTTTCCGGTAAATTTTTGCTCTATTTTCTATTTTCGATTTCGGGATTTTATATATATTTTTCATTTCGTAACAGACTGAATCGGCTTTTTGTTTTTGTTTTTGTTTTTATTACATTGAAATGTATTAATTTCATGTTTTACTGTTATCTATTTCATTCAGCATTTTTCACACACGCAGACACATATAGGATGCAGTTCAGGTGAGAATGGTCCTCCAAGAAATGAGAATGGTGCATTTTTATTCTGTCACGATGCATTTTTACATTGTGGTAGTACATTTTTGACATTGAGAGTAAGTTTCAATTTATTTACCATAACGCCACCACATTTTTTCAGATTTTTTCAGTTTTTTAAATTTTTCAAGCCCTTGGATTTTACATCTAATGCACAAGATGCATTCGTATTCATGCCATTAGATAGCATTCTCACTGGATCCAAAACACACACACACACAAACACACATATGTGTGTGTGTGCTGTTTAGGAGGCAAAATCTGTGTTTATTCCAATGAAATGCAACCTTTTTTTAAAACTGAGTGATAGTTTAGCAATGGTTATTGGAGAGTCTACTTTCATCTTTGTTACTGCAAAGAAAATTGTGTAATTCTATATAGATATGAAATGTGAACATGATGAAATGAAAATAAGTTTAAGTAAAGAAGAGATATAAAATTGATATGTTCATATCTTTCGTGTGGATTTAGTTGTTAACTTTCTCCAAAAGACCTCAAATTTAAAGAATGGGGGTAAAATGTGGTGTGGGAAACGAATCCCGGACACCTTAAAAAGGAAAATTGGACGACTAAACCTACGTGTGATTTTGTGCTTGCAGTTTTGACTTTTGAGTAAATGATAGGCCAAATGTAAACCGATGAGCAATTTTGACGTCTTAAAAAGCGCCGCTTTAATCCCTCTTATCTTGTCATCATATCAGAGCAATGGACCTTCTTCTACGTGCTGCAGGTAATGAAGAATTGGCCTTATTTTTAGTTCATACTTCTACTCCGGATTCCCTGATATGTCGGTGTTGGTGGCATGAAACTTATAGTGTTAATTAATTGTCAAGGATTTTGTTGACACTTGACACTATAAATTCATGCAGAACAAACATATGCAGTGTTTGTTACAGTGGAAATGGTTTTCTCAAAGAAAATAAGTTTTCCATGTTTAGTGGTAAACTTTCAGAAAATAACTTGTTGTGGAAGTCATATTCTCAAGTTTATAACAAATCTTGCTTAGATAATTGGTTTAACTCACTTGCTTGGAAAATAGTTTTTATTCACTTGCTTGGAAAATAGTCGATTCTTATGTCATAATAACAATGAGTTGAGAATTCAGATATTTACACGTCATAGAACAAAAAAAGATCGAGTTATTAGTTTTTACTAGTTATAAACAAAATATGAGTTCTGGGATTAGCAGTAAATATAATTCACAGATTTGTTCTACTGTTTTTTCCTAAGAACATTGTGTTTTCGTACACCATTGATGTTTTTTTGAATCTTCTTCTCTTTAGTATAACATCTAACCTCCCACCCTCCTCTCGCCCCTCCCACAAACATCATTTTCAATAAACCCGCTTATAATTGTGAGTACCCTTGCATTCATGTACAAATCTTTTATTTATGTAGTAATTTTATTTTTTTTCATTTGGAGAACAGAAAGGTTATATATATGGAAACATATTAACATACATTATAGCCTAAACATTGATATTACAAAATTTAATCTTTTTGTTCCCTTTTCAGGTATCCTGGTCTTACTTTTCTAAATCTACTCCATCTTCAATACAAAACCTAAACTCTTCTCCCTTGTATTTTATGATCAGGTCTTCATAAGAAGCTTCTCCATTTGCCCCCACCAACTCTTTCGATTTCGCCCACTCTTTTTCCCAATCCGTTCTGTAAATCACTACTAACATTGAAACCACACATGCCAATTCTGCTGCCAACAGACCGTAACAAAGACCCTTAAACCCAAGCCTCAAAACAAAGGCCAAAATGATGGCCAATGGTGCACCCATCACGTAGAAAGAGTAGAAGTTGATGAATGCACCAATATTAGGCCTGGCACTCCCTCGAAGGACCCCACAACACGTAGTTTGTGGGCAGTTTGCCAGTTCACACAGTCCAATGATGGGTAGAACTGTCATTGTCAGCTCAAGAACTTCACTATCTGTTGTGAATATCTTGACCCAAACCTCTCTCCCTAAAGTGGTCAGTAAGATTCCAAACGTTGATGCCAGAAAGGCCATAACAATGGCTATATCTGTTGCCAATCTCGCCTTCCCTGGCCTTCCTGCTCCAAGTTCATTGCCAACCCTGCTTGAAATCGAGCTGCTAAGTGCTGAAGGCAATGTGTACATCAGAGATGTTGTTTGTATCACAATCGCGGCTGTTGCAAGCGTGACCTGAGGTTTATCAAGGTAACCTGCTAAAAGGGTCATGAATTCATACCACCACCACTCTAGACAAACGGCCAGACAACTTGGTATAGCAAGCCGAAGTAGGATCATCCATTCCTCTCCTAGTGAAGCAGAAGGTTTCAGATTTGTGGTGGCTAGTGGTTTGTTCAGTGTTGACTCGTTCTGTTCCTTGGTATAAAAAATGTAGGCTAAAAGGAAGAGGACGTTAATGAAATTAGCAACATAAGTAGAAATTGCAATTCCTTTTATCCCAAGACGAAGGGTGAAAGTCAAGTAAAAAACAACCGGGATATGGAAGAGGGTAGCGAGTAAAGTGCTCCATAGGAGTGGCCACGTTGTTCCCTTGCAGCGTAAGTAGATGCGCAATGGGTGAAGGAAGCTATTCGCAACAAGGTCAGGCATCGCAAACTGGCAAAAAACGGCTGCGGTGTGTATAATCATTGGATCTTGGTGGAGCCATAGCATGAGAGGTTCCAAGTTGAACCACAAGATGGAAATTGGTAAAGACACGACGAGTAGCATGGCAATTGTTCTTTGTAGGGTTAGGGAAAGCATGTTGAAGTTCTTTGAGCCAAAAGCCTGGCTAGAGAGTGGTTCCATTCCCAAGGCTAGACCAGACAAGAGTGAGTAGCCAGTGATATTAGTGAAGCCAATGGCCAGAGCACCACCTGCCAGCTCCAAACTCCCTAACCTTCCCATGCACATTACTAGTATCATGTTTTTCAGGTAACTTATCAATCCCATTGCCAGCATTGGAAAACCTGTGTCAATCATCTTCCTCAGTTCTTCTGCCACCTGCACAGTTATTATTGTTATTATTAAGGTCAGTAAAAAAATGTGATCTTTTATTTTTCATTCCTTGCAGTAATATTCAAGAACATAAATGTTCATACCTGTGGTGTTGTGGAGTGCACTTGTTGGATCTGCTTGGCTGTCATCTTTTCTTTTTCCTGCTTCTTGGGGTTTTACTCTTTTTATTTTGTATGTGCTTTTAGCATATATATATATATGAAGAGATTAAAAAGTTGGTTGTGTGCGTTTTTTTACACATGCAACTTCTTTACATCCATGCAATAAACACTCCCAAAAAAGACCCTTGCAAGGCAATCACCCACAGGCAAAGATAGATAGAGAGAAATAGAGACAGAGAGAGACAGACAGAGAGAGAGAGAGAGAGAGAGAGAGAAAGAGAAAGATGGTCAATTGAATAGGAAGTGAAGGAGTTTTATAGGGGAGTGAGGGTGTGGGGTATTAATTTACTGTTAGGCATGTACTGTAAAAGGCTGCTATTAGTACTACCTCATAAGCACAGTAACTCAGTAAGTACTTCTTATCCTAGATGAAAAACGAAAGCTGCTGCCCTTTCCCAACTGTCTTGGATATATTTTGTTGACTTTGTTCCTTAGCAGAAAATATCAGAGCAAATCTAGATGGTCACCCTCAAATATTATTTACCCAAAATATATGGTAGCTATGGTACTGTTTTTTACCTTCACATGATGAATCAGATCATCAATATTCTCATTTTCTTACTGCATCATCAACTTCAACTTCCCTCCACATTTTTATTGGCTTAATCCCATTATCCCGAACTTACCGGAGTAAAAAGCAGAAATTTGATGCTGTCTCTTTTTAACTTGATGAATCCTTGTTGCACATTCAAATAGGTAATACCTTTATTCGGTTCTTCCGGTAGAAGGGCGAGGCGCGGTACGATTTTGGATCTCACCCGAAACCCGTGGATATTGGGAATGTTTGTTTCGCTAATACGTGTCCTTTTAGAAAGATTAATCTATATAGAAAACTATAATTAGTAAATACAATAAACTTTTGTTTTAACCAACCAAACCATTTCAAGGTTTTTTTATGAGTGAAGTTTTGCATGATGTAGACATGTAGCTAAAGCCTTGAAAGGTCTCATGTTTTAATCATGCTTATTATGGCAGAGAAAGAAAAAAAGCCAACACATTCATTAATATAGTAGTGGGATTGGCCTCTTTCTTTATGCTGTGTCACATTCAACTTGTTGGTATTTAAGGCTAAGTTAAAACCTTCCTTTTTTTTCATCTTTAAGTGAAAGTTTGCCAACTGTCCCCAAGATACAGTCACCAAACATCTTGATTCCACTGTTACTCTCTCCGTCCTTAAATTATATTCCTATAATATTTTTTTGTTCGTCCCAAAAGTCTCACCGTTTTTCTTTTAAAGAAAAAACAATATGTGACTTATAATATTTTTTTGCATCTTATGAATAAATTATAACTACACAATTATGGAGTATCATTTTCCCCAAAAAAATCTTGTGTTTATTCAAAGTGGGCAATGATTTAGGTCTGGAAAAGTAATGACATGCTTCTTTGTACTCTTTTTTGTTCCAAAAAAAGAAATTCTTTTAGTTACTTTTTACATGGCTACATCATTTCTTTTCTTGCACTTTTTTATCGATCATTTGATAAAGTAGAATACAATGCTGTCTCTTGTTTTGTAGCATGTTTGATGTAGTTCTTAAATATATACTTTTTGAATTGTATTTATGAATTATACACCAATTAAAATGCACTGAATTGGAAAAAATTGGTTTATATGATTTTTTTCTATAATTACATTTTATTTCCTTAAATTAAGATGAAGAATTAACTTAGGGGTACATCAAAATGTAATACTCCATATGTACATTGAGTGTCTGTGTGTGTTTCTAAATGCTTTGTGTACAAATAGAACACTTCATTTTGGTGTACCCCAAGCATTGTCCTAAGATGAAATCACGATTTACTTTTCTAGAAGACATGTAAATAGCAGACATAACTATGGAGGTGTTTCTTTGTCCCTAATCCAGCGAGTTTGGACTTAACTCCCGGGTCCGGTTATTCCGACCTGCGAGTTTTATTTATGAAACGAACTCCAGCGAGTTTCGACTTAACTCCCGGGTCCGGTTGATCCGACCCGCGAGTTTTAATTAAGAAACAAACTAGATATCTAGAACTTAGAATTGTTCTTTACGTCTGATCTAGTTTTATTCAAATCTGATATGATTTGATCTGATTGCAGTTATATTTAAGGTAATTTTTTTTATTTGGTCTTATCCCATTTATTCAAGTCAAGTCGATCGCGGAATGATATATACAGTCCAATTGTGTACAAATAGTACAGCGTTAGTGTCTGCCTATTTCTACTTCCCATATCCTCTCTCAGACTGTAGTGAATCCTTCTCAATCTTTTCTTTATTTTTTTATTTTTATTTTTTTGGACTCTTCTGAATGTAACTTTGCATGTTTCCAAAAGTAAAAATTTTAGTTTCTATATGTGTGACTTTGGTAATTTGGTTACTACTTAGGCAGCGTTCCATTCAATTTATTTTTTCTACTTATTATTTATTCTTATTATAATCAGATCAGACCATATTAGATCAGACTAGTTCAGATCATATTTTTTAAAAATCATATCAGATCAGGCAAACGGAACGTAGTCTTACTACTCTCTCCCGTCCACTATAGGTATTCTCAAATGCCATTTCTATTTATCTACGAAAGATTTTCTCATTATCTTTTTAAAATTTAAAATACCACAATTACCCTTATTTTACTCTATTTTATACGATGTCGATCGGATATGCTCAAAACTTTAATATTTCTCAACAGTTATCATAACAAAGCAGTCATGAAATGGTTAAGGAGAAGGGACCTATAGTCTCATTAATTTTTTTGGTTAATCTGTCGTTCTCTCTTAGAGAAATGCAATTAATTATAATTATAATTATAATTATGAATATAATAATTATAATTAGCCGTTGAAATGGAACTAATAATCTATGTCATGCACTGATGAAACCATGCATGTGCCATTTTAGGTGCATCACTTTAAACTACCAGAAGAGGAATGGATAATAAATCATTTCAGCAGCCAGGGGCCCACACCACTTCTGTTGATCATAATCTCTTCAACAAATTGCAATTAATTAATTTTATTAATTGATTATAGATACCACTTTTAATATTTCTTTTTTTTTGAAAGAATTAATTTTTTCAAAAATTCCATCAAGTAGAAAAGATGGTGATGCTATACCTTAAAAACTACTAGTAATCAAATCATGTCAAAGAACAGCTAAGCTAATGTTGTACGGAAGTTAGGAGAATGGTTGCATCCCATTGCCATGTCCCAAAGTGCTTCTTCTTCAATCTTTTGTGCATTTTTTTGTCCCAATGTCTCGGGCATTGGGTCAAAAAAAGTTTATGATTAATAATAATAATAATAATAATAATAACAATAATAATAATAATAACAACAACAACAACAACAACAACAATAATAATAATAATAATAATAATAAAATCTCTATATTCTACTCCCTCCGTCCCATGAAACATGGGACATTTGCTTTTTAGGAGGGATTTAAGGGAGTGTATTTTGGTATTGAATTTCCAAAAATGTCCTTTGATGTGATGGGTAAAAGTATGATTTGATGGATAAATTATTAGTAAAAAGGTATGATGTGATAGTTAGGGTATGAAAAAGTAAGGGGTAAAAGTGACTTTTTAATAGAAATGAGAAGTGTTTTATGGGACGGATAAAAAAAAAAAGAGAAAGGTTTCATGGGACGGAGGGAGTATTAGATATCATTTTCTATTGTTCAAAAATAATATTAATTTAGTAACGTAAATATGATCCGTGCAACACACGAGTGTAAGATTAGTTCAGATTAAGTGAAGAGAACAAGTCCTTAACCACTTAGGGTTAATTCGGCTTTAATTCTACTCCCTCCGTCCTAAATTATAATGTATGTTCACTATTCACATAGTCAAACTTCATTCACTTTCCTTCTCTATTTTCGTTAGCAATTTGATAAAATAAAATATTGATGTTACTACTAGTTTTGTAGATCTTTTGATATAGTATTTTGATATGTAATTTTTATTTTTTTAACTCTATACCATTTGTCATATAAAATGATTTGAAAATAACTTCAGTCAAACATCCTAAACCGAAACAGTATTTATAAAATGGGACGGAGGGAGTACTTTTTACGGAGTACTACTTTTGATTATTTCTGGATTAAATGATTTTGAAGAATCAAGTGCTTGATTACTTCAGATTTTGAGAAGTAGAATTCGTGGCGGATCTAGGAATATATATGGCTGGGGCACCATTATAGTAAAGAGTAGGGCGGGGTTCGAGGGTAGCGCCTCCGATTTTTTTAAAAGTGATTTATAATTATGAAAAAATAAGTGACTTTTATATCAAACAAGTATTTAAATAAGTAAAACAAAATATTTTAAAAGTAGAAAAATGTGATATGAAGTATATCATAGCTTAATGTAGATATGATATTTCAAATACTTTACATTTATATTCTACGGAGTATTTAAATAATTATTTTTTTCTTTTGGACATTTTTTTTACTGGGAGCACACCCTTAATTTACTAGAAATTTTTATTTTTTTACACTATATATTGGTTAAAAAATTTGACAGAGGCCAGTGTTTTGCCCAGGAGCGCAATTAGCCATCAAAATTTTCATAATCTAAAATAAATGCAACACTCTTCTGATTCTAAAACGAGAATGGACATGAACTGATTTTTCATAATTAAAATTAGATAAGACACTAATTTCCACCAACCTCAATGAGAAAATTAAGTAAATTGTTTACTCCATTTAATTTGTTTTTAAACTAATTTTTTTCATATTCTTTTTCCATATGTGGTTCTAAAATTAGTGTTCATTTTCTTTAAGAGATAAATATATACTCCATTGTTCATATAATTTATACATGGAGTAGCTTCTAAATAAGTCTGAATTACTCTTACTCTTTCAAATAAACTTACAAGTTTCACTTCTATAAAGCTTTAAAAAATGTTGTAGAATTTGTTTAGATAAAAGAAAAGTCTTGTGCTACATATTCTTTACAAGAAAAGTCTTGTGAAATGTTTTTTAATTTGGGACATCCTAGAAGGGAAAAATAGAAAAAGTTTTTCTATAGAGAAATACTACATTATTATTATTATTATTATTATTATTATTATTATTATTATTATTATTATTATTATTATTATTATTATTATTATTATTATTATTATTATTATTATTATTATTATTATTATTATTACTACTACTAGACGATAGTTGTATTCTTAAATAATTTTAAGCAAAGGGAGAAGTATAAAATTTGTTATGATGTTTTGACAAGGGAATAATATTGTAGTACTTTCATCACAGTGAATTTGTCCAGTTTAACTTTTTCAAGTTAAAATGAACAACTTAGAGCTTCAATTACTCTCAATTTGTAATGCCTATTGGTATAACAAAATATAATTCCGAAAATTCTTAATACGATAAATCTAATAAAGTCATTCATATACTAAAATACATTACAGTTTTTGTTTAATTGAAACTCAAAATATATCTAATTTAACTTGAAAAAAGTCAAACTAGATAAATATATTGAGACGGAAGGAATATTACATATACTCTAACCACCAATTTCCCAAAAAGATACGGCGAATATTGTGTTATATCCCCCCAACAATTTCAACAACTCAAAATCATGCCTGCCACAACATCCATATTTGCTAACAATATTTATTTATTTACTCTACTTTATATTTTGATGTGGTCAATATTTATTTGGAAGAAATATTTAATTAGGATTAAAACATGTTTCACAATGGTGACACTAAGGATAAAAATATATGAATGTTTTTTAAGTAGATTAATTTATTTAATCCTTTCCTACCACAATGAATTTGATAGATTGGTTTCACGTAATTTAGATAAATGCTAAAAAAAAGAATTGCTTAGTGAAAATAGAAAAAGTATATGATAGAAACCCATTTAAAATATAGAGAAACAATTGGTTGGGGTTTATTTTATTATCTCCTATAAAGAAAGTAAATAAGTGTAGATAGAAATAATTGGGGTTTATTTTATTATCTCCTTAGAAGTCTCTCTTGTAATCTCTATATATAAAGATGTATTGTCCTTCATTATTTAATAAGATCAATTATTATCAAATTGTATCATGGTATTGGAACTAAGATTATCAAACACCTAGAATCTTTTTTTACGACCGAGCACATCGCCGGTCTCTGTTCACGGTAATTGACTGTCCGACAGCATGATGTCACCGACTGGTCTTAACTCTCTCTTTCTCTCCAAAAAACCATCCATTATCTGTCTCATTCTCTTAAAAAAATTCATTATCTATCTCTTCCAAAAAAATCATGTGCGTGATCAAAGAACATGAATGTTGCATTTGCCTGTATTTTTTCTAGAGATCGAGAGAATGGAAAGTAATAGAGAAGCAGAGAACGATCTAGAAGGATAAAAAAGAAACTCTTCGCCCTCGCTCCAATCGCCAACTCTCTCACCAGAAAAAATTTACCAAACGTAATCTCAAGCGTGTTCGTCGTGCCAGGAAGATCTGACTCTCTACTTCTAGAGACTATCCTCACAAAACGGCTTCCGCCGACTCAATTCCAGTACCTGTGCTCCAAGCTGCTCCTCGTTACCAAAGATCAGCTTGTGCAAGGATATTAGGAAAAATAGATGTATTAGGAAATAAAATATTATTATTATTATTATTTATTACCTTCCTTATAATATTAATTCCTTATTGTATTGTTACAATAATTTTTCTCCTATTTAGATTAGAACTCTCTTTTGTAATTCCTATATAGGAATGTATTCTTCATTATTCAATAAAACCAAAGTGTATCACTTAGGAAACTACCGAATAATAAAACCTGGCTATAATACAACTTAAATATTGTCTGAATAACATATATTATTATTATTATTATTATTATCATTATTATTATTATTATTATTATTATTATTATTATTATTATTATTATTATTATTATTATTATTATTATTATTATTATTATGCCTAAACTTAACACTATTATTGCACCTGTCTGCTGCATTGCCATCCATATTGAGAGCATTATTGTATCTCAAGTTTGTAAAACTTTGCTAGGCATAAAATCTTCACTTATTAGATTGCCACCATATTTGGTCTCCTTTCCCTGAGAAAATGCCACAAGATCGAATCATGAGCGTAGCTACATTGTTTTTGAGGGATCAATTGACCCCACAATTTTTTTTAATGCTTATATCAACTCAATGTTAGTTTGTATTNNNNCCCCCCCCCCCCCCCTCGTTACAAAAAATAAAATGTTACACCATCTTGTACACACTAAATCTCAATTAGGTTATAATTTTTGCTATACTATTTTTTGCTATAATTATTTTTTAGTGCTAGCTATTAACTCGATTATAAAACATTATTTTATTTGTTCATACTTACTCAATCGAATGAAGACTCAAATATGGGTGAACATCTCCATAATCTTGAAGAGTACGTTTTTCACCATTCAGGGCAACAGAGAAGCTCATGTTTTCCATTAAGAGAGGAGATCTTGTCAAGCGCACTGGATCTATTGTGGATGTTCCTGCGGGAAAGGCTATGCTAGGACGTGTGGTCGACGCGTTGGGAGTACCTATTGATGGAAGAGGGGCTCTAAGCGATCACGAGCGAAGACGTGTCGAAGTGAAAGCCCCTGGGATTATTGAATGTAAATCTGTGCACAAGCATATGCAAACAGGTTTAAAAGCGGTAGATAGCCTGGTTCCTATAGGTCGTGGTCAACGAGAACTATATAAAAATAATTGTTTCCCGTGATGTTATCTTTTTGGAAAATATTTTTCCATATCTAACCCTTTCAGATAAAGAGACCGACCAACCAATTCCGGTGTCGGACGGCCCATTACCAATGGAGGAGGATCTGATCAGACGGCTCCCAAGACGGATCCGCTGCTGCAGCACCTACAATCTTCGACTCCGCCACCGAAAACACAGCTCCCGTAGCAGCCCTGGAGCCCCTTTCGGCCACCGAAGACACATCACCCGTATCAGCGGGCGACATGACGTCGTCCAGCGCTGCCGGAACTGGCAGCAGCACCAGTGCTGAATTGAAGGACCAACTACCCGACGAGGCAGCACCCATTGCCGACGAGGCAGCACCTATAGCTGGTCGTGGGCAACGAGCACGTATACCGAACACCCGTCTGAAGGATTACATCACATATACTACCTTCCAAACGCTCAGCAAGTATCCGCTAAGCGCATTCATCAATTATGACAAATTTACTCCTTCACACAAGTGCTATCTCATAGCTATTGACTCCGAGATCGAGCCCAGAAATTTCCGTGAAGCGATGCGATATGAAGCATGGCGCAAGGCCATGCGGGCGGAAATTGATGCGTTACAGAGTAACGAGACTTGGACCCTCGTCAGTGCCTCCCTCACAAGAAGCCTTTTGGGGAGCAAATGGGTGTACAAAATCAAACGCAAGGCCGACCGTAGTGTCGAACGGTACAAGGCACGACTGGTGGTCTTCGGTAATCATCAGGTTGAAGGGTTGGATTATAACGAAACATTTGCTCCTGTCGTGAAACTAACCACCGTAAGAACCTTATTAGCCGTGGCTGCAGCTAAATCATGGGAGCTTCATCAGATGGATGTTCACAATGCGTTTCTTCATGGTGATCTTAATGAGGAAGTCTTCATGCACCTTCCTCCCGGATTCACTCCTCCTCGTCCAGGTCTTGTTTGCAAACTTCAGAAATCTTTATACGGATTGAGGCAAGCCCCCAGATGTTGGTTTGCCAAACTCTCTCAGGCCTTAAAGAAATATGGTTTTGCTCAGTCTGTCTCCGATTATTCCCTTTTTACCCTACGACAAAGGGGGGGTGTTGTACATGTTCTCGTCTACGTGGATGACCTTGTGATCGCCGGCAGTGACTCTCATCAAGTTGCAAAGTTTAAGTTCTACTTGTCCCAATGTTTTCACATGAAGGATTTGGGCCGACTTAAATATTTCTTGGGCATTGAAGTTGCGCGCACTCCGACAGGCATTTTCTTGTGTCAAAGAAAGTATGCGTTGGATATTATCTCTGAAGTTGGCTTACTTGGGGCACGTCCACTAGGCACCCCACTTGAGCCAAACCATCGATTGGCGCTTACTACCACGGCATTACTTTCTGACCCTGAGAAATATAGAAGCCTCGTTGGTCGCCTTGTTTATTTGTCGGTCACTCGACCAGAGTTGTCCTATGCGGTTCATACATTGGCCCAGTTTCTGCAAGAGCCTCGTGAAGAGCACTGGAAGGCTTCAATGGGTGTGGTTCGATACTTGAAGGGGCAACCCGGTCAAGGGATCTTCTTATCAGCTAACAATACCTTGCAGCTAACGGGATGGTGTGATTCAGACTGGGCCGCCTGTCCTTTGACAAGGAGATCCCTCACCGGTTGGTTTGTCCAACTTGGCAAATCTCCTGTCTCCTGCAAAACAAAGAAACAGACGACCGTGGCCCGATCGTCTGCGGAAGCTGAGTACAAAGCTCTAGCCGCGGTCACTTGTGAGTTAAAGTGGCTCAAAAGTCTACTCGGTTCTCTTGGGATTGAACATTCGCAGCCTATGACCATAAAGTGTGACAGTACTGCCGCATTACATATCGCAGCCAATTCTGTTTTCCATGAGCGTACGAAGCACATCGAAGTCAATTGTCATTTTGTTCGAGACGAGCTACTGCGAGGAGTCATCAAGACAGATCACGTCTCCACTACACATCAACTAGCCGATATGCATACGAAGGCACTGGGCAAAGCACGACTTGAATTCTTGATCCCCAAGTTGGGCATTTCATTACTATATGCTCCAACTTGAGGGGGGGTGTTAGAGAAGGACAAGGAATATTAGTATTTGATTCAAGGAATATTAGTATTTGATTTGTATTAGACTTGTATATTGTAGTTTCCTTTTAGCATTCCTAATCCTATTAGGAATCTCTTGATAGCTATATATGAAGAATTATAATTTTCATTGATCAAAAGAGTTGTGATTACATGTATATATATAAGAGGAGTCTCAATCCTAAACAAGTTAGGAGAGACACAAGTAAGGAAACCTATACAAATTAGGTAAGGTAATAATACAATATATTAAATATATACAATATATTTAACATGCTCCCGGCTACGTCGGATGTGGAGGAGGTCTGATTCCCAAGCTTTGTCTGAAGTCCAGAAATAATAAAGAAGGCAGTCCCTTAGTGAAGATGTCAGCATACTGCGAAGACGAGGGAACAGGGAGGACGCGCACATGACCAAGTGCTACTTTGTCACGGACAAAGTGAATATCAACTTCCACGTGCTTGGTGCGCTGGTGCTGCACAGGATTTGTCGAGAGATACACAGCACTGACGTTGTCACAAAAAACAAGGGTGGCTCGCCGAAGGGGTTGCTGCAGCTCAAGAAGTAGATTCCGGATCCATCTCGTCTCTGCTACGGCGTTGGCCACGGCGCGATACTCGGCTTCGGCACTTGAACGTGAAGTGGTAGTCTGGCGCTTGGAGGACCAGGAGACTAGATTGTCACCTAGAAAGACACAGTATCCGGAGGTGGAACGTCTGGTGTCTGGGCAACCGGCCCAGTCAGCGTCGGAATATGCCTCAGGGAGTCGGTGGAGGATGGTGCCAGGTGGATGCCATGGGTGGAGGTGCCACTGAGATAGCGTAGGACACGCTTCATGGCTGTGAGATGAGCATCACGGGGGGCATGCAGGTGTAGGCAAAGCTGCTAGACGGCATAAGTGATGTCAGGGGGAGTAAATGTAAGATACTGTAGGGCTCCAACAACAGATCGATAAAGAGTAGGATCGGGGAGCAGAGTGCCTGACGAGGAGGAGAGCTTTGCCTTTGTGTCCACTGGGTGGAGATGGGGCGACAAGATACCATCCCGGCCCGCTCAAGTATGTCATGAGTGAACTGTGTCTGGTGAAGAAAGAGGCCACTAGTCGTCCTGTGTACGTTGATGCCAAGAAAGAAGTGTAGGTCCCCCATGTCTGTCATAGCGAATTCGGCCTTTAGCCGCTGGATGAGATGCTGGAGGAGTGCTGTGGAAGATGCTGTGAGAACAATGTCATCAACGTACAGGAGTAGATAGGCAGTGCCCATGGCATGAGAGAAAACAAACAGTGAGGTATCTGATTTGCACCCTCGAAACCCAATAGTCTGAATGAAACTGGCAAATCTGTGATACCACGACCGCGGTGCCTACTTGAGTCCATAGAGAGCCTTCTTGAGTCGGCAAACATAGTGAGGTCGAGCTGGATCCTGAAACCCGGAAGGCTGACTAGCGTAAACTATCTCCTGTAGCTGACCATGGAGGAAGGCATTTTTGACGTCTAGCTGGTGAATGGGCCATCCTCTGGACAGAGCAATGCTAAGAATGATGCGAACTGTAGCAGGTTTGACAACGGGGCTGAAGGTCTCGTCGTAGTCGACGCCAAAGCGCTGGTTGAAGCCGCGGACCACCCAACGGGCCTTGTACCTGGATAACTCACCTGATGGGCCAAGTTTGTGTCTAAAGAGCCATTTACCCGAGATTATGTTTTGGGTGGGGGATGGGGGTACTAATTCCCATGTTTCATTCTTAATCAATGCATTATATTCATCACACATAGCAGCGTGCTAGTTTGGATCTTTTAGTGCACTACGGTAAGTTGGAGGTAAGGGGGAGATAGGTGAAGAGGCAGTGAGGTTCAGAATTTGTTTTGGGCAAAAGATTCCATCTTTGGATCGGGTTTGCATGGGGTGGAGATTGGGAGGGGAGGAGGGGGGTTGGGCCGTGGGTGGCTGCAGGGCCGTGGTGGGGGTAGGGGTGGCAGTGGGCTGGGTGCTGGGGCTGGGCCGAGAGGGAGAGGTGGAGGGAGAGGGTTGGGCCGAGGGAGTAGGGCTGGGGGGTTGCTGGGCCGAGGTGG